GACAGTGCTGCCCAAGAGAACTTTCTGCGATGGTGGGAACGTTCTATCCCTGTGTCAGCCACCAGCCACACTGGCTGCTGAGGACTTGAAAGGGGGTGAGTAAAGACTGAGGAATTGAATATTAAAATTTACTTAATTTCAATTAATTTAGATAGCCACACGTGGCAAGTGGCTACCATTTTGGGCAGAGCAGGATTGGAGGCATCAAAAAGTTTATTCTTCAGATCAATCAACAAGGTTTAATGAGTGCAAAACACCAGACAAGTTAGCAAAGTTTGGTTTTGGGTTTTGGGTTTTTTCTAAGCAAGAAACAAAGGAAAAGAATCCAGAGTCACTCATGGCCAGAAGCTCACGATCTAACAGGAAATACTAGATTCTAGGGGGGAAAGACCCCACACGCAATCTGGGGAAGCATTCCTAATTCACAGAACGCCAGCTTTACTTAGACCAGCTGTCTTAAACAGGTGACTTTAATAACACTATTTTCAGCACTGGAACTGTTCTAGGGATAGGATCTCCAGGGAAAGTAAAAGGGCATTATTTTTCAAGTTATGAGACAGGTAAGAAGCAAGACTGGTTTACCAGGCCTGAGAAGTGGGCAGGTGGAAGAGACCTAGGATACGGTTCAAATGTCAAGGGGAATAAGGTGGCCTGGATACCTCACAATTTGGGGGGATTTCTTTGAAGATTTTTTTTATGTGGACCATTTCTCAAGTCCTTGTTGAATTCAATATTGACTTCTGGGTTGTTTTTTTTTTATGTTTTAATTTTTTTGGCCACGAGGCATGTGGGATCTTAGTTCCCCGACCAGGGATCGAACCCACACCCTCTGCACTGGAAGGCGTAGTCTTAACCACTTGACCACCAGGGAAGTCAGTTTTAAAACTACCTGACAGTTTTAAAACTCTTGATCAATTGGTTTTTCTCACTATTGTTTCTCTTCCCATGAGAATGTGTTTTGGTTAACTAATGAGTTTCTAGAGCATTAATTTTAAAAAGAGAGAGACTTCCGATTCTAGTCGTAAAAAGACGTGGGGCTCAATTTTCCCTCTGGGTGGAATTACCGGCTGGGAAACAGCTAATATCTAAGCTCAGAGCCAGCCAAGAGACTAGGGACACTTAGAAAGAAGGTACTAGCGATGTGTGTCCCTAGGAAGGAGACAGAGCAGCTTTTGCTGAAAGAAAAAATGCATCACTGCGTCCTGGGGACAAGGATTAGACCTTGGGGAAAACTGGGGGGTGGGCTGGGGGTTAACAGGCCTGGGGAGAAATTTCCAACGTGTAATTCTGTTTGTTTGTTTTAGCTTTTCTATTCTAAGATAAAACATTAACATTAATAACAACTTACATTTGTACAATGATATGGTTTACAAAGCTTTTTCACACTTCATGATGATCCCAAAAACCCTGCAAACATTCATTTTTTTAGAGAAACGGCTCAGGGCTCAACGTTATAAGGAAAAAAAGGATTAACTGAAAGTGTAGGCAGAAGATCTTTCATTCTTCTGGTTAAGTTCTGCAGTTTCCTCCTGGGGAGCCATCAAAGGCTGGAAAATAGAGCAGATGAGGAAGGAGTGACCCCCCCTCATCCGGTCTCCTGGTCCCAGCCTCCCTTCAATCTGTCTGAACTCAGAGAGAGGCTCTCAGTCACCTCACCCTCTCTCCTGCAGCTGTTTGGCTAAATGCAGTGGATATTTACAGTGAGAACTGATCTGTAGGCTGAGAGTGTTTTCTGGGAGGAGACAGGCAGGGTCCACGAGATGTAGAATGGAGCCATGAGTATGGCGACCATAAACCCCGGTTCGCTTGGAACAGACCTAGTTTCTACCTGTTGTCCCAGCATAAAAATTACAGCACTGTTTCACTCTCAGATGTGTCCTGTTTGAACATTATATGGTCACCCTAGCCACTGTGACTGGGCAGAGTGTCTTTTTTTTCCACAAAATTGCTTTGATTGTTCCCCTGGGGTAATCGACAAGGTTGTTCTGGACTCAGCTTTCTCATTCTCAAGGTTAATGCTTCTAAGGAGCTAAATCTGCATCCCAGGAATGTGAAAGAAGTTAACTGTTTTAACCCTAATCACCTGTGGTGTATGGTTCTGGATGGGCCCTCAGGCAGTGACCTGTAAAGAGTTGGCTGTTTATTTTATTTATTTATTTTTTAAAATATATTTATTTATTTTGTTTATTTATTTTTGGCTGCGTTGGGTCTTTGTTGCTGCACACAGGCTTTCTCTAGTTGCGGTGAGCGGGGACTTCTCTTCGTTGCAGTGCAAGGGCTTCTCATCGAGCTGGCTTCTCTTTGTTGGGGAGCAAGGGCTCTAGGTGCAGGAGCTTCAGTAGTTGTGGCACACAGGCTCAGTAGTTGTGGCTTGCTGGCTCTAGAGCACAGGCTCAGTAGTTGTGGCACACAGGCTTAGTTGCTCCGCGGCATGTGGGATCTTCCTGGACCAGGGCTCGAACCCATGTCCCGTGCATTGGCAGGCAGATTCTTAACCACTGAGCCACCAGGGAAGTCCGAGTTGGCTGTTTAAAAATCATCTGGGGAACTTGTTAAAAATAGAGATTCAAGGGCTCACTGCCTGAGATTCTGATTCAGCACATCTGAGAATCTGTTTAAAAATGAAAAACAAAGCTTCCCAGGTGGTTTGGATACTAAAGCCAGATTTGAACCCAGTGGTGACTTATCCTTTGGCCGTGGCCTGGAGTGGTCCATTGTTACTATGGAAACCACTGATCTATCCCTCAGCCAGGATGAATTTTACTTCTTCTTTTTCTTTTCTTCTTTTTTAAAGTACACATCTGTTTCAAAAACAGAGGGCATTATTTTGGGGAAAGAAGAGTGCTTTCTCTCTCAAGATATTTAGAGAGGATAAGCAAAGCCCCCACAAGGCAGAAAATTTTTCTTGTCTGAAACCAAATTCAGCAGG